AACAAAGCTGAATACCATACATGTAAGTACCCGCGAAAACTTAAGAAAAAATATATACATGTATATGTATATGAATATACACACACACATACATATTACTATAAAAACCTGCACATCTCTCTTGACAAAAAGGAAGAAGGCAAGCATAGTTTTACTTAATTCATGCCTAATCTGAGTACACAAAGAGGGAAGGTAGTCCTCGATTTAAGACCATTTGCTTAGCAACCATTTGAAGTTATGACGGTACGGGACAAAAGTAAGATACAACCAGTCTTCGCACTGGAGATCATCACAGTATCTCAATGGCCATGTGATCAAAATTCAGGTGCCTGGCAACCAGCATACATTTATGATGGGTGCAGAGCCCCAGGGTCATGTGATCTCCATTTGCAACCTTCCCAGTTGGCTTCTGACAAGCAAAGTCAATGGGGTAAGCTGAATTCGCTTAACGACCATGTGATTCATTTAATGACTGATAATACATTTAATCATGGCAAAAAGTCATAAAAGTGTACACAACTCACTTAATGACTGTCTTGCTAAGTGATGAAAGTTCCAGTCTCAATTGTGGTCATAAGTCGAGGACTACCTATACATACGTATCGAAGAGATCCAAATTGAAGTCTAAAACCAAGACATTACATATCAAAATTTCTGCATTTTTACTTTGTATTTTAATGGTAGAAATTAAACGTAGAGAGCCAAAACACAACAAACAGAATATAAACAGAATATTATCCTCCAAAAGACAAGAATGAAAAAGGTAAACTCTAGACAGAAAGAATGCTCAAGATGACAGGATGAATGTACAGAGGACTGTTCTCTGGGTGGTTTATATTACCAGTCCCCACCATATTGAAGCTCAGTGTGAAAGTGCTAGTTGAAAAACATGATGGTAGAAAAATCAAAAAATTCTTCTGAAGAAGACAAGACCAGTAGAAGTGACAAAAATGCTATCATTGGGCTTAAAAATAACTATTGATTTATAGTTCAATCAAAGACAAATGCATTTTTGCATCCTGTGTAGTAATTCTCAGACACTGAGAATGTAGATAGCACAACATCTGATATATATATATAGTAATTTTTGTTTGCCATATCTGGATGCCTTCAGCTGTCCTCTCAAATCCTTCAGTTTCTTAACACATTTGAGAAGTTTAGCTAATCAGTAAACGCAATGCCTTTTGAGAACTGAGCAGGCTCTGCCATCAAAAGCAAAAAAGCTGGAGGAAAAAAATTTATAAATAACAAAGGAGCCACTAGTGACCTTTACATAATTCTTTTTAATGCACTTGTCAGAGGCTAATTTTTTTCTAGGATGGGTAGGAGCAAGAAAAATGAGAGAGACAACATATTGCACATTATAAGCTTTCTTACAGATATTGGGATGTTTCACAGAAGCAGTAAACACCATGTTAAATATCCTTTCAGAATTGAAGTTTCATCAGATAAGCTATCTATAATATAATTAACATACTGAAGAAAAAGGCTATTACAGTTCTGCTTACTGCCAATATTAAAAGGGTCGTAGCTAGCAAAATATAACAATAAAAGTACAGTTTAATGTAGATAGCACAACATCTAAGTAATGGTGTGTGTGTATATGTGTATATATATATATCGTAATTTCTGTTTGCCTTACCAGGACAGTTCTCTGTAATGTTTTTCAAACGATACTGCTTATAAATTGTACTGTTAACATCAACCTTACAACCCATTTTTTCATAGAGTTGCAGTTGCCACTCAAAGCCTTCATTCATCCTAGAACAAATCAAAAGAAAACTGATAGATCAGAGAATGTGTATTTTAACCTTCATGAGAAAACACTTTCGCCAAAGAAAAAAATAAATCATACTTAGCATCAGGCTTGATGGCTTGAACAAAGGCATAGGCCTCTTGAAAAGTAAGGTGATTAGTTTTCATTAAATAGGCAGTCACAATAGCAACACTTCGACTAACTCCAGCATGACTGGAAAAAAAGAACAGGAAGACGTAGTGAAACATTGTTTCCCTCACATAATACCACAAAATATCATTCCCACTTTTATGCTGTTTTTTATAATGCATTTTTATTCAGGATCAGGAAGCAGAAGGCTGGGCACACATCTCTCATCTCATTTTTGACAGCTGCATTAATATAATGCTACAGAATCTAATCTTTCTCCAGTTCCCGCTAGACTGCTTGGATGCAAAACAATTACTATGTATCCTGATTATCATGAAATCCCCCACTACTCAACCCTAGCACATTTTTGACATTACATGACAGGAAGTTTCAGGTTGGTCTTTACTGTAATGGTTGGATGATGACAATTCATATACTAACAATAGTTTATCTGTACATTCTGAACAAAAAAATAAGCTCCGGCTTAGAGTGTAACAGAAACAACTGTGTACCATTTAATCCTATGAAAATTGGGGCAACATTTGTCTGATCAATCCTATCAGTGAAACTAACCAAAGAAAATAAAACTATATTTACATTCCACAAATACATTTTGTTGATCAGCAATTATATTAATCAGTGCTGGGCAGAACTTTTTAAAGCATTTTTTTCAGAACTGCAACTGGACAAAAACACTTGACCACAAGCTAATGTAATGTACAGTTTCTCTAAGATTTGACAAGGGAGAAGGCAAAAATGAAAATTCAGGAAAGAATGACGGCAATTTAAAAATCATCCCATTGTCTGGGTTCACAAATCGCAATAGTTTCAATTACTGTGAATTTTATAGTATGGTTTATGACATCCTGGGAGTGTTTACACACTTGGCAACAATTCTCTGCAAGAGCACTGCGGCATTTTTAAACCCTCCTCACCCCCGTGCAACCTTTTAACTTAGGTTAGGCTTACAAATATCTCAAAAACTCTTTAACCCAGATATTACACAGCGTTAGGGAAAAACAAACACAAAAGCGTCAGCTATCCTGAGCTCAAACACGGTGAACTCCAAAGCTCAAATAGAGTGAGCGGGGCTTTAATTGTGACGTAACGAAGACAATCTGGGAGGTTCCCCTACGGAAAACGCGGGAAGCGTCGGCTCTACTACACAGCAAATAGTCATTAGTGGCTATATAAACGATCCAGGGAGAAACGCAGTATTTGAACTCGTTAAGTATTTTTTAAAAACCCTTAAATCCGATTGACACATTATACCCAAACATTTTCTTCTACACCCTCAAGAAGGCCAGGGTGGTTCTTAATAGCTGCACTATAATCAAGGATTCCTCTATCCTGGTTTTCTGCTCCAAAGCTAGCCAAAGGAGAAGGTGGTTGGGGGTCTTTTGCCGGTCAGTCCCAGGCCACAGCCACCCCGCCTCCCAAGCAGCCTCCCTTGGGCCGGGGGCTCACCAGCGCACCAGGGCGCTTCCTCCACCCTCCAGGACTTGGCTAAGAAAAGCCGCGCAGTCGTCCAAGCGACTCAGCAGATCGCTCTGCGGCCGGTCCAGCGCCTGGACGAAAAGCGTGCTCTCGAAGCCCGCGAGCGCAGCGGCTCCGGGCGGCTCCGAGTCCACCTGCAGCAGCGCCGTGACGGCTGGCTTTCCGGAATCGTCTGCAGGGCCAAGATCGGCGCCGCTCACATACAGCCGCGGAAGTACCGGCACCATGGCCTTAGTGCGGCTAGGAGGAAACGACGGAGGCTCCCGTTGCCCCGCCCTCGCAGCGCCCGTCCCTGCTCTCCGCGCGGCCCTTGGCGGAGAATGCAAAAGAGGCAAAGAGGGAAAGTGGAGACTTCCAGTAGCGGAAAACGATTTCTGAATTCCTTTAAATTGTTTCTCAAATTGTTAAGATGTGTGGATTTTTAGCTCCCAGAATTCCCGAGCCAACATGGCTGACTCTGAGTTCTGGGAGTTGAAGTCCACACGTCTTACTGTTGTCCAGTTTGAGAAACATTGCTTTTAGACCTTTTTCTCTCGCACCGCCACCTCCCATTTAAAAAAGAAAACAAATATATATATATTGTTTTCATTCGTATTGTGACCCGAGATAATCTCGGCCCTGGCTGCTAACTCTTCTTGAGGAAGGGGCCTTAGGAAAGGGGTAACATTAGGTGAATTGTATTTTTTAAATAAACATGGTCGAAAAGCGGAGAATCTTAAATGTGAAGCACGCAATTGCCTAATTTATGTGACTCCACTAGGGGTGCTGTTCTTTATCAATGTTTATTTTCGAAAATGGGCTCAAAGTGATGTTATTTTGTATTATTTTGAGGGTAAGCAATGTTACATGCAGTTCAGAAAAGGAGTACAAAATTCTGAAGCAAATTAAGGAAAAGACAGCTAAAACTGGTTTACACAAACACCATTTACTATAGATCTGTACCTTTCTAACTTGGCGCACTGCTTCCACCATACATACATTGAATCATACACTGCTTTTTGGATAAAGGGCTCTCATCTCATCAACTCCATCCAATCATAGGTTTGTTTTTTGATGTGATTCTTATTCTCTATGACCAAATCGCCTCAATATACAGTATTTGTTTTGTGCTAGTTATTTTTGTATTCAATCCACATTCATTCAGAATCTATTTTTGTGTTATCTTTTTCCTAATACCCCATTCCCACTGCATTCAACTTATTTTTGTGTTTCTCCTGATGTATTACTTCCATGTACAAAGAGGACAAACTACTCCAGCTATTTTTCTTTCTAAAATGTTCTTCCCTTTGTTGGAAGAAATAAGGGGCGTGCCGCATGCATAAGCGCACAATCGTGCCTACCGTCCTTGTTCTTTTGTCCCCAATTATTAGTTCCTATTTCTTGTATTTAAACTTATGTTTATTCCTGTTTCTGTTGTAAGCTTTTGACAAATAAATAAAATAAATAAAAAATAAATATCCTTCTGGGTTCAGTTCCAAATGGGGGAAAAACACTGGAAACATGGAGGCTGTTTGGAAAGATAGTTTCATGGTGGACAGACCACATGGCTTGGAGCTCCAAAATGATCACATACTTCAAGGTGAAGGAAAATATCAAGAAGGAGGAGGAGGGCTGAAAGTGCCTGGTTTTATACCCTCTGTTGAGATTTGAATTTGAGCTTGTATTCTGATTGGTTGTCAGACTCCCATGGAGCCATGCAGCGGCAACTCTGTAGGCTGTCCTGAGTTCCAGGTGTGGTTGAGCCTTGCTGGATGATGATGTAATGAAAAGGGCTTTGGGCAATTGCTATAGCTTTACCTGGAGATCTTTGTTATGTAAAATATTCTGGCCCAGGCCTTAATGGCCCACCCATTAACAAAGGGGGGGGGGTGAGTTTCTACTTCTGAGGTGGGTTTCTGCTTCTGAGTTTCTACTATTTTTAGGGGAAATATTAGGCCTTTTTAATATTTCTTAGGATATTTCAATTTTCTAGGAGAATGGTGGGGGTGCTAACTTCCTACACCTTAAAATGAACCAGCTGCTACTCATGAACTTTGTAGCAGCATCTAAATATTTTCCATACTTTTCCCTAACTTTAGTAAATTCTGTGAAGACACATAAAATTATATACTTGCTCCATCTTGTGAAAAAATTCCTGATGACCAAAACATAATCTTGTGAGGTGAGGTTTTTTGTTTTTATTTGCTTAAGAGCAACTTTCTAATCTATTTCTAGGCATATATTATGGAAAAATTGATGAAATCTTCAGCTGACAAAAGGATGCTTTTTCTCAAAATCCATTTTTAGGTCCAGATATATTTCTTCTACATGTGGAAAAACAATTACGGTCATCCATAGCTATATTTTTTAATTCTGCAGATCACTGAATAGTTTAGCCATTTTCCAGTGGTGATATGTAAGGTACAAAAATCCATCTTTTTTCAGATATCCGCTTCAAAAAATATAAATATCTAAAATGTCAACACTGAATGAAAGCATGTAATACTATTTACCAAAATGGAGCAGTGGGCTTCTTTCTCTCTCCCCACCCCGGCTGGACCATCAAGACATAAAGGTTGGGGACTGCTTAGCCCTCTTCTATTTTTTCCTCTTTGATCCTTCCTTGCTCTATTTGACAACATTTTTTGCAACTATATTTTCTGCTATGTGCACATTTTGCATGTTATTCTTTTTTCCTTTTTGCAGCAATCAATTAGCATTTTTTTCTTCATCCACAATTTCTTTCACTTGATCATCCCACAAAGCAACTTTTATTTATACAATTCTGTACAGTTCTATGGCATCATGTAACAATTCTTTCACACTCATTAATAGTCCCAATCATTCATCATAACAAATCAATCATGCTTTTAGATTTATATTAATTTCTTGGCATATATATGTAAGAACAGATTTATGCTTGAACGATGTATTCGAAACAAATCTGTTTAACCAGTCATTCCCATTGGTTCTCCTAATGCCAGAGTCACTTTTTGCTCATCAAGTTTTAGCAATAGCATTAGCAATAGCATTTAGGCTTATTTACAGCCCCATGGTGTTTTACAGTACTCTCTGGGCAGTTTACAAATAAGAATTGTTTGCATATTGCCCCTAACAATCTTTTACTAACCTCAGAAGGATGGAAGACAGAGTTAACTCTGAGCCCCATCATGATCAAATTCCAGGCTGTGGGTAGAGTTTGCCTGCAATACTGCAGTTTAATTACTATGCCACCAGCCATTAATAGATCAATAGATTATCAAAGATCAAAGATCAATCATCAATAATCCATCAATAAACAATACCTTACTCAAGGAATTGCCAAGAAGAAAACCATACCAGTACCAACACTGGCAGAGCAAGCTATCCTATATAAACGAGCAAACCCATACTCACTGGCACTAATATGATTACCAGTACCTACTGTGTTTCTCACAAAATAAGGCCAGGCCTTTTTTTTTTTTTGAGCCCCGAAAAAATGGCTAGGACGTCTTTTCAGGGGTGAATTAATTTCTCCCCCTCCCCCCCCCGCGCACCAGCGCCGTCTCCAACAACAGCATCTGAGTCGCTCCCGCTTTTCCCCCATCCCCGTAACAACAGGAAAAAAAAGATTTTGAGGTACCTGGGTGCGCCGCACGCTGCATTTTGGTTTAATCCCGAGCGGCTGGGTGGGCATGAGAAGAGCCGAGCGAGCGTCTCTGCTGCTGCTACCCTTGGTGCTCCAGCCTCGGGCTCTGCAAGTTTGCAAAAGTCCCAGTGCGCAGCCCGTTCCTGCATTCCAAGCGCCCAGGCCGAGCTTCAACTGTCCCTCTCTCGCCAGCGCCATCTCCAATAACAGCGGCAGCAGCAGCGGGAACCGTTACGGAGTTACTCCAAAGTTACAGAGGTGGCTCCCCCACCCAGGAAGTGGCTAAAACACTTCCACAGTTCTCACCGCTGCTGCCGCTGTTATTGGAGATGGCACTGGCGAGAGAGGGACAGCTTGGAATGCAGGAACGGGCTGCACACCGGGACTTTTGCAAACTTGCAGAGCCCGAGGCTGGAGCACCAAGGGTAGCAGCAGCAGAGATGCTCACTCGGCTCTTCTCACGCCCACCCAGCCACTTGGGATTAAACCAAAACGCAGCGCGCGGTGCTCCCAGGTACCTCAAGATCTTTTTTCCCCTTGTTGTTATGGGGACGGGGGGAAAGTGGGAGTGACTCAGACGCTGTTGTTGGAGACGGTGCTGGCGAGAAAGGCGCCAGCACCGGTGGGAACCGTGGAAGCTACGGAGGCCTGAGAAGCAGCTGAAACGCTGCCGGACATCCACGCCAACGCCGCCTGCCTGCTGACCCGGGTAAGGGAGGGGTAAGGGAGCCCTCCGTGCTCCACCATGGTGTTAGGAGCGGCTGATGGTGAGGCGTAGCTGCCCATGGGGCACTCCTAATGGCAAGTTCCACCCCCCAATTTTGCATGTTTTAAACTAGGCCTAAATTTGGGGGGAGGGGCTTAATTTCATTTTATGCCTAGAAAACATGCTGGGTCTTCCTATGGGGGGGGCGTATTGTTGGAGAAACACGGTAGTTACACAAGAAAACAAGTAAGCAAGCTCAGAGAGCACAAGAACTCTATATATAGTTCAACCCTCAACTACATGTATTGTGTTCTATTATTTGATCTTTTTTTATCATCTTTGATCCCATCCACTTTCCGTTGAGTCCATGACACATTATGCATTAGGAAATATGGTATTCAGCAGTTTAACCTAAGGCTAGTGGAAAAGTCAAGGCTTTTAAAACACCAATCAACTTTCCAGAGTATTACTTGGACAGTGAATGAGAGTAAGAATAATCATTAATTAAAACTGGCATTATGTGCCAGTTTTAATTAAGTGGAATGAGTTGTAATCAAATATGACTGAAAGATCTTCAAGTAACTTAGAGTTACTTGAATTAGAGTTCCCAGTTTCAAAATGAACTAAGAATGGTTACATTACATTAAAACAAACTATGATTTACAAAGGACAATATTTTAATGTAAGCCAGAATTAAACAACAGCGGTAACTTAATACAGAATGAGCAACCTCCAGGCCACATGATATTTCAATAGCCCCTAGTGCAGCTAGGGTCAACAATTTTGAACTTTTTTTGAAGTATAGGATCTTGAAGAACTAAGGACCAAAAATACACCACTTTTTAAAAGCTCTTGAAATGGGAGGATTAAGGAGCAAAATGGTTAACCATTTAAAAGTGTTCATGCATTAGAAGAGCCTTGAATCTTGGTCTAGCTTTGAACCGAAATCCCCATTCTACTTTCAAAGGACAGAATTGATGATAAGTGGTTAATAGCCCATGCTGGTGATAAAGCCAACAGTCTTTTCACAGAAATATGCTTTCTGATTTTATTTTGTTC